GCCCAACGCACACCTCCAGCTCTCTGAGAGCTGCCCACAGCCCGGCAGGCCGTCCCAGACCGCAGTTCAGCCGCGCCGTCTCTTGCAGTCCCCTCCTCGGCCATTAACATCACCAGCCACAGAAATCTGCAAAGTCACTTGTTAGTACGAACTAGTTGGACGGCAACGGAGGGCAGCGGGAGGCTTCGGTTGGGCTCCTCGACAGTGCGTTCACACGGCCGAGCCGGGTTTGCCGCACACAGGTGGGACGGGCACGTCTGCCCTCATCGCGGCGGATTGCGGCGCTGCGCAGCGCGTGCCCCGAGCGCTCGCACCCCCGGCTCGCTCCTTATCCCCCCTCCGCGCCCTACGCCCTCTCAGTTCCTCCTCTCCCCCCCTCCCCCCCCAACCCTCCAAGAATCCCATTTTGCAACCGGATGACCACCGATCTTCAAAGAAAAAGAAAAAGGCAACCCATATTATATAGATGTATGTAAATAAACACCAGAAATGCCTCCCTCAACTCCCCCCCGCCTCTCTCAGCCATTGTGCCTCCTTCCCCCACTCCTCCCTGCGGCACAAAGCCCCGCCGCGGGCCGGGCCGTGCCCATCGCCCCGGGGCTCTCCCCTCCCCTCCCCCCCTCTCTTTCCCCTCCCCTCCCCGCAGCCTCCGCCGTGTTCCGGGAAAAGGGCTCCGCACCTCCGGGGGGCGGCGGCGCTGCGGAACGGCCCCGGGAGGGGGAAGGCGGCGCAGGGCAGGTGGCGGCGCGCGGCCCCAGCGCCGTGCCCGCACCGAGCCGTGCCCGCACCGCGGGGCACCCACGGCCGCCTCCTCCTCCCACCCCCGCGACCGCGTGCTGGGAACCGCGGGCCCGAGGAGAGGAAAGGAGAGGAGAGGAAGGGAGTGCAGGGGGGTTGGATGGGGCCGCCCCCGGTACCTTGCGCTTCCTGGTCTCGGCCGAACCGCTCCACACGAAGCACTGGTAAATGGCCCTCAGGTTCTGCTTCCAGTTCTCCACCTTGAAGCCGGTCACATGGCAGCACCCGGCCGCCGGCGGACTCATGTCAGACCCCCCCACATCAATCCTCTCGCCGACGGGCCGGGCCGGCGGGCAGCTTGCCGGCCCCTTCCCCCCCTCGGCGGCGGCGGCCGCGCGGGCGCGGGCACGGCACGGGGCGGCCGCGCGCCCCCCCCAGGCACCCCACCCTCCCTCCCTGCCGCCGCCACCGCCCTCAGGGGCTGCGGCCCCTCCTCACGCCGCCTCCCGCCGCCGCCTCCGTTCCCGCGGGCTGCCGGGCGGGCGGCAGGCACATAGAGCCCCCGGCTCCGAACAAAGCGCGGCGGTGGAGGCGGCGGGCGGGCAGCGCTCCCCTCCCTCTCTCCCTGCCTCGCACACAAAGATGGGGCTCTCTCTGAGGCGGAGGAGGAGGAGGAGGCGGCGGCTGAGAGCGGCCGCTGCCGCCCCCGGAGTGGCCGCCGCTCCCTTCTACCTCATAGAAGCGGAAGGGAAGGAAGGGGGGTGGGCCTGGAAGCGGCGGCGGCGGCCCCGGTGCGAACGGAGCGCGTGTGTGGGGAAGGGGCGAGTCTCCGCCCGCCGCCGCTCCCTCTCCCCAGCCGGCCGCCCGCTCGGCTCCTGTCTCTTTAAACCTCTCCCCCCCGCCTCCTTCGCCGTCTCCTTCCTCCTCCTCTTCTCTTCCCGCACTCCCCCCCTCCGCCCGCCGTGTGCGATGGTCCGAGCCGCTAACTCAACCCAGCCCGCCGGGCCCGGAGTGGGACAGACCAACGGGGAAGGGGCGGTAGGCGCACCCCCGCTCTGCCCCGCCGCCCGCGAGGAGGGAGCCGGAGAGGGAGGGAAGGAGCGCTGCGATTGGCTCGCTCGCCTGTCGCTCCGCCGCTGAAGTGCCCGTCTTTGGTGTCTCATTGGTTTATTTTCTTTTCTTCCCCTCCCCCCCTTCTCCCTCCACCCTTCCTCCCTAGCATTTCCCCCTACCGGAAAGGGGTGGGAACGGCTATGTAAATTGACAGGTCATCTGACCAACGGGAAGAAAGGGCGGCACGTTTGCAAAGAGTGCCTCGCAGCGACTGGCCGTCTCCGCCGTCACTCTCGCTCCAAGATGCGAGCGGATTGGCGGCGGCGGGCCGTGGGGCGGTCCCACCCAGCGACAGCCTGGGCTCTGGGTGCCGCGGTGCTGTCACATCCGCTGATCCCGGCCGCTTCGATCTTTTACCTCAGTGATTTCCTGAGAGGCGGCGGCAGCCGGGTCGCTGCCGGGGCAGAGCCGCCTCCCCGCCTGATAGAAACCCTGCGCCCGGGAGCCTCGGCACCAGCTGAGGGTTGTCCGGCCGCAGCGGCCTGCGCTCAGCTGAGGCGGTTCGGGGGGCTGCGCTGGGTGCAGCAGGCCGCGCCGCGCTGCGCTCCTATCGGGAGCTGCCGCTCTCTCCTGATGCGTCCACCGAGAAGCAATGAAAGCGCTCCACAAAGCACCCGGTCGCTAGAACCGGTGTTGGTGCAACGTTTCCTATTAAAAAGCCCTAGGAGGAAATGAGAAAACCGTGAAAAACACTGGGATCCTTACACAGCTCTCGTGTGATACACATGCTGTGGAGTTGTGTAAGAGCGGAGTGAGGCAAGAGGAGGAGATGGGAATGGAGCACTGTGAGAAGAGCAGCTCTGTCACACCGGGCTCTTACACAACCCTGCGAGGCAGTGCTGTGGGGAAGGCAGCGCTTTTTTGTGCGCTCCTATCGACACCCTCTTTCAGGAGCTGTAACCTCGAGGTGTGCCAGGCAGATTTGTATCGGGTCCTCCTCGCTATCCTGCTCTATTGCTTCAATGTGCAGAACTCGTGAGGAGAAGAAGCCATTGTGTCAAAAGAAATAGGCACAGAAACCCACCCCCTACCTTCTAGAGCCACCCAAACATCCCTCAGCGCAGAGGGAAGATAATCTTACAGCAAGCTGTATCTAAATGAATGGGATGGGTAATTAACATCTTAACAGCACACAGTATTTATTCTAATGAATCTGAGTATCTTCCAATTAAACAAAACCCCCAATATTACTACAGCCTAAACTCAAGTAGAGGGTTATTCTTATTCTGCAAGAACTTGCTATTACTGATCTTGGGCTTTTCTCCATAGCTAGCACATCAAAACAGGAGATAAAGATAAAAGAGAGAAATTCTGTCTGTGAAATTTAAGTCCATCTCTCCGAAGAAACAGGATATCAAAAAGATAATGGATGTGTTCAAAGCTTTGCAGATACCGAAGTTTTCGCTGAGATTTCTTTGCAGCTTTTTCTTGCAAAGTCATCATGTTTACTCTATATAAGGTGCAGCAGCGTTTGTGTTATTCAGAAATAAAAATAATCATGTCTTTATAAAGCATAATTCTTTCATTTTAAGAAGGGAGAACACCTGCAGTTTGTTCTACTCACAAATAAATACTTCCTTTGGAACATACCATTTTTTCTCTCTGGACAGATCAGAAACAATTACAACAGTCAACCATTCCTGATTCCTGAAGTTCCATGGCCCACCCCGAGGAGCTGCTGGGATTGGTGAAGCATTCTCAAAGATAACACACAAGCACAAAATCCATCCTTAACCACAACTACTGTCATCTGAGGTTCTCCATCACATCCCAAAGGATGAATGTTGAAATTTTAAGATTGACTCCTAGGCACATTTCCACGGATAACAGACGATGCCTTTCAAACTTCAAGGTCCCCCCATAGTTTTTCTGGCATCTTGTTCTCCAGAAAGGGAAGGAGCTTTTTGAGCCAGAAATCTCATTTCAGGTTCACTCTGACAGCGAATCGCTTTGGTACCAATTTAGAATGGATTTCTGCTTTGGTACTTTTGGTACCAAAGCAGAAATCCATTCTAAAATTACACAGAAAAAGAATGGCTCTTAATATTTTCTGAAGCCAATTCCTTTCCTGGGGAGCCTGAACCAAGCTCCAGAAGGTATCAGTGTCATCAAGCCCTTTGCTTTCCATCTGGTAAAGACACCAGAATCTTTCCTGTGAAGAATTAAAATTTCATACTCTACAAATACCTCCTGATTGTGGCAGCCCATACAGTGAAGGTGGCACGGCAACAAAGCACATCAGTTCCAAAATAGGAACAGAAAATAGTTACATTTAGTCATGTAGTAATTTGCTAAATCAGGGCCTGCTTGCTACATACACACACGAGAGTTTATAAGTTTGCTGTAGTTTAATTTACTCTTGGGCATGGCTTGGGAATGTTTCTAGAATAAAACCTTTTGGTGCAGCAGATAGCTTGGGAAAGGATTTGCCTCTGGGGGCAGAAAACCATTTCAATCCCTCCTGCATCTCTTGGAGGAATTTTTAATTTTAAAGCACTGATGATTATGCTAACTAGTGCTTACCCCCAAATGACAATGGAATATAAATGTTGATAGTAGCTAAAACATACTGCAAACGTGCAGCTAAGTCTTCCTCCAGAGAGTCATCTGTGTTACATGATAGCTCAGCTGGGAAGATGCAGTGTGCCTCCACATGGGGAAGAAAAGCGGCTGTATCCTCAATCCTTGCCATCCCAAGGTGGCACTTGCAGCATTAATCAATCACTGACCTCGCAGCAAAACAGATTTATATGGTCCCAGCTCCACCACCCTCTCTAAAACAAAGATTTTGTTTTCGGTCCAGTCCATTGGTAAAAGCATCCGCCACATTAGAGGCTTCCCCCTGCCTACATCTGAGCAGAGGGGGTGGAGCAGCTGCTTCAATCCACAACGCTCAGTGGCAGCCAGTCCAGCTGCACGGGTCTGGCCAGAAGGATGCTTGTCAGTCCATGGAGCACAAAGAAAGGTGGATTTCAGTGGGCTGAGCTGACTTAACATTTCATAATCGACTCCTGAAAGTTTTCCCTTGGAATCACAGGCCCCTGTATTTCTAATTTAAACCTATTGACAATACACTTGCTTGTCTTCGTGATCTTTTGCAGATCTCTCCAAAGCAGTGCATGGAATTCCAAGGATTCGTGCCCCTTAGGTAAAAAAAACAGTCTTACAAAAACAGAATGCCTGCACTTATTTTTCTGAGGATCATTTCTTAGATTTCCCTTTGGCACCATCATGGGATGAAATCTTGGCCCCAGTGGAGTTCAACAGGAATTTTGCCACTGACTTACATGGAGCTAAAATGTCACCCCTGCTATTTGTCAAGTCAGCTACATCCAGACAATCCTGTAACATCTGACTTCAACCAAACACACAGAAAAGTTCACTTCCTCAGTCTCTGAAGACAACACAGCATTGGCGATCTCATTAAAAAACAAGACATTTATTCCTGGCAAGCTGCTTTTAACAAAGAGGGGTCCATCCAGTGCAACCACCAGAACCACGTCTCCGTTCTGTACCATACAGCTATTGGCATTAGCTCTCACCTTCCAGGAAGAATGCCCCAAGCACCCATTCACTTGTAAAAGTCACTGTGCTGTAAAACCTTTGTTTATCATATCAGCCCTCATCTGTGGTTTCCCCACAGACACAGGGGGGTTTTCACCCCATTCATCTCCTGTTTTCCAAGCCACTGCAAGGTCCATTCCTAGGTTAGATAGCAGCATCTAAATCCCACTCAGCTTTTGTGATCAAAGGTAAGGCTGAAAGATAACTGATCACAGGAGGACAACTGATGTGAGCTACTTTCCCTCTCTAAAAACCCTGAGACGAGGGTTTTATTGCAAAATATCCAGGCCGGGTCAGCCACAAACGGGGTCCATCTTTGTTATGGCCATAAAAATAAAGCTATCACGTTATTTGACCAGAAGATACTTTCAAAGTCTATTCTAATGGGGAAAACCATCAGATGATGTCTGAGAGAGAGGAAACGTACAAAGAGAGGCTCTAGAAAGGGACCTGCACACTGCTGCTCCCCACCCCAAGTACTGGGGAGCTACCATGCTGCACACCTGTGTGAGAGCAGCTTCCTTCCATCTTCTTCTTCCCCTGGGAAACAAAACCAAAATCAGTCTCCACTATCTGATGAGCCTTAATTCTCAGCACTTAAATAATTAGCTTCTCAGATATACAAAAACAACTCTCATTTTCTGGATTAGTGAAGGAAGCTGGGTTCCACTGAGCAAAGCTATTACGGAGCTGCTAATGCATGGTTTCATCGCCTGCCACTAAACACAGAGCAGTGTGGCTCTGGGGAGAGCAAGAACACAAGGAGAGCAGTGCTGCAGGGTTAAAGTGGAAGGCAGCAGGGGAAGCACTGGCAATAGAGGCAGTTGTGGTTTTATGGCAGGAGGAGGGCTGGCTTCGCTTGTGTGCCTGCCGAGTTTTATCTGGGTTTCAAACGATTACATAGAGCCCAAAAGAAGACCAAGCACAAGGAGATGATGTTTGCTTTAAACACAGACCCATTAAAGGCAGTTTCCCAAAGCAGGGTAACGGAGATGGAACATACTCAGAAGCTGAATCCTTTGGAAGCCATCTGGAACTTCTGCTCAGGTTCAGCAACTCCAGCAGCAGAGAATGGCAGAGCTTCAGTGCAGCCTTTCACAGCTGTAAGGCTACAGGGATACTGGCACACTCTTGCCCTCCATGCTCTTTTGACTTAGGAGTTCATGGGAAACTGACTGCAAAGAGTCAGTCTTTTTCCACGTCTCACCTGGCAGGTATAGACATATAAACTCTTCAGAACAAAATCTTACTTCATACCTCGGCACAGGAGTGGTGATTTCCTTTTTCATAACCGGATGGAGAAGGGGCTGAAAAAACAACATCAGAAAGAGCTGCTTTGCTTTGTTCTGGGAGACTTAAACATAGGCCCTATTAGATGAACAATTCAACGCCATTAGGGCTGTTCCTTCTCCCTTCTGCTTAACTCTTTTGCTGCCCCGCTACAGACTTTAAGATCTGTTTCACTCAGGCATAACCAAAAGCCAACACTGCATCTCTGGTGTGGTACAGGGAAGGGGGAACAGAACAGAGATTGCATAGGAAATCAGGGCTTTTGCGCTTTAACTACAGCTATTCGACAAATGCAAAGTCATGCAACTTCTCACACACCAGGAGCTGGAAAAGCTTGAAACTGTTGATTTCGTTGATTTCTTTACATTCTTCAGCATCAAAAATCCCTTCAGGACGTGTCAGTCATTCTCCCCTACTCATCAGTACACACAAATCAGTGGATCAAAGTACCTGTAGTTCTGGATGTGGATTTGGGACTAAACACCTTCTGACAGTGAAATTCTTCCAACTGTAGCGTCAATAAGCCTTAAACTTCTCACATCTGTCACACCTTTCCAAACAAAATGAAACTACTCAACGCTTTTGACCATCCATAAGAAAAGCCTGAAATTGCAATGGAAAGCCTGGGTTAAAGAAGAAAATCTGGTGAAGACAAACAGATGGGAGATTGGTGAGGAAATCAATGAAACCATGATGGTTTATGCAGCAAAGTTTGTGCCAAACTGCTGTTCAGAGCCAGGCAGCAGGGGCATAAGGCACCTGCAGACAGATGCTGCAGAACCTCAGCACCTTCCCCAAGAAAGAGTGGCTCTCTACAGGTGACTGTTTGAACTTAATCCTCTCTGAAAATGCAGAGATGCTGCTGCTGATGTCAGGGCTTGTTGGACCACTGACTTCTGAGGAGTTACAACCCCTGTAATTTAGCCAAAGCAATCAGGAAATAATTATGTACAGTGGAGAATTAAAAGACGGTAATTAAATTGTACAAATAAATAACTGGAGTGACTAAAAAAAGTCTACCCAAAGCCTCCTTTTGAGCAGTATTTAATGTAAATGAATCACTTAGTGGACAATACAACAATCATCTGTTCAGCTTCTATTCATTATCAAAAACAATACGGAAGGATTGGCAGGGAGCAGCCCTGTGCCAGAGGGAGCCCTTGAGGAAATACCACAGAATCTGGGCTGACTTTTGTCTGTTCTTCTATTGTTCCCTGACAATGCTTTGCTAATGAGTGTCCAACCACGTCATTTTGGTCACCACCTTCCCTCCTTATTTATTTATTTTGCCCAAACCAACTCAGTAGTAATACTGGCTTGCCCCAATGAGCTGAAATGCTTGTTCATGTCAGGGAGAGTTCCATCGTTAGGTGTGAGTTGTGCCGAGGCTGAGGAGCTGAGAATGCATGGCCTCAGGCAGCCTGGAAAATCCCACAGTAAGCAGTCCACCAAAATCCTTTGATTTGGGCAAAAACCCATGAAGTTTTAAAGGAAAAAAATCACGTACCTTTGAAATTTCAAATGCTTATTGAATTCAGCTTTGGAGCTGTGTGTTCAATTCATCTTTCGTTGCTCGGTTTGAAATTATGCTAACTTCATTCTAGGAAATAAGCTGCTTTTCAATAGGGCGTACTTGAACCAATTGCACCCAACATTATCTTGGGCTATTTATCTGCTAGAGCCTGTAAGCTAACAGGAATCCTCATTCAGCATCTGGAGAGGCAAAGTACCCTGCAGCACTGCTGGTTCAAATCACCGACCACAGCAGAAGGAAACTCACTGAAGTGGTCCGAGAGGAGAAAAAAAGGGCAACAAAAGATAAAGAGTGGGGCAGATAAGCAGGCTATGCTGCTGAGAAATAGGCATGTGGAACGGCACCCAGATCTGACTTCCCAAGGTTGTCTCTGAGGCCATGATGCACAGGGTTTGCTTTATTTTGTCTTAAATGAAATCTTAAGCTCTGCAGCAAATCTTCTGCAGCCAGCGTTGTGTTGGTTTGTTGGTTTTTTTTTTTTTGCCAAATCCGGTGACGACGGTATGTGGGCTTCTAGTTAACACTACCTAAAATTTGAGATATAAATGCACACTTCATAAATTCCTGTTCCTAGCTCAGTTTTCTACAGTGAAACAGACAGAGATGGCACCAAATTCCCTAAGGCTTACTCCTGCAAAGTCCCCAGCAAGCTGCCTGCGTCGCTCAGCCTGTAAGTGGGGAGCTTTACTCACTGCATGTATTCAGCACCCCACTGAATGGGGACTCAAGAGGACTGCAGCTGGCTCACCACGCGACCATTCGTGGTATTGCTGTCTCCAGCTTCCACCTGCCCTTCGGCTGGAGGTCAGTAAGGCCGAAGCAGAGGCTGTAAGATGAGTTGCACAACTTCTCTGTGGCCACCGCAGTCGGCTGCTCAGGATATTAACACAGCCAGCTAGCTGGCAGGCAAGATGGGAATGGCAGCACAAAGCCCAGCCTGCCACTGCCAGCACTGGGCACAGACCAGTGGCGCTCAGCTCAAGGTGCACAACTCAGCACCTACAAGGCAGGGCTGCCATGCACAGTGTGGAAATGCACGGCTGCCAAGGGCTGCAGCAGGAATCCCACATGTCACCCTTTGAATAAACATTCCTACCCCTGGACAGGGTTGGGAAGTGAGAACCACTGCTCAGCTTCTGGCAACAACAGCTCATCTCACAAGACCACTGTTACCATTTGTATTAAATGATGCTTTTCACAGAAATCTCTATTAAAAAAAATAAACAATCTCAAGGATCTTTTTGGAAGGAAATAGCCTGCTTATATTAACATACAGTACATTAAAGGTATCATCCTAGGTACCATCCCTACTGGGATACACTGAGAAGAAACCAGACTAACTGACTGACTTTGTTTCATAAACTTCCCCTGAAATATATATATATATTTATGAAAAAGGCAACAGTATAATTCTGCTCCTCCTTGCTCTGGTAAAGAGGTTTTTTTTCCTGTTGTTAGTCCCTCGTGTGGTTGCTTAAGTCAGGTCTCACTGTAATTACATACCTCACAGCAGTGCAGGGAGACTTAATTAAGAGAGTCACTGTAGGTTCGCTGTCAGATACGACCCAGTCCTGTCGGGAAGGCGCTGGGATGTGGCTGCAGCAGGTATGTTCCAGCAGACAGCTGAAGTTTGCAGCGGGTTTTGCCATCCTCCTGCAGAAAGCAGCCCAGACACACCCAGCAGCCTGCATGCAAAACCCCTGACTCCACTAGCAGGGAGCCCGTGGTTTTCAAAATCCCTCTGTGCTCACCAGGAGACGCTCTGCCACACCGCAGGATTTCAGATTCCCCCCCCCCCCCCCCCCCCTCCCAAGCTTCAAAAAGTGTGACTCACCAGTTTCAAACGGTGACATTTCATTCCCAACCTATTCTGGGAGCAGCTGGCTTTGTAACACATGGGGATGTGGGGAGAAGGGAGGGAAGAGCCAGATTGAAAGAAGCAAAAAGCACTCATTCTCTCCCCCGCACAGGTATGTTGCTTCTCCATTTCAGAACCACACAATTTGGGACGTGCTGGCAAATTTCACTGGAGGAAAACAACACAACAAGCACATTGCAGAGAAAAATATCTGTACAAACAGTGATGCAATTCGCTGTCAGTCAGGAGGGACTCTTCACATCCCATAGACGCGAGGAAATGCACTGTCCCCACTCCTCATGAGCTGAGCCCTGCAGTCCTCGATTGCTCCTTCAAGCAGACTGCGATACAGACCCAGGCTTTAGTCATCAACAGTACCTTACTAATGATGAACAAATGTATGTGCAGTGGGGAAGATGACAACAGGGGAATGACAGAGAAATCACTGTCAGCTCCTGGTCCCGAGAGCGGTTTTGTGTCACACTCCTCTCATGCATAGCTTGTGTCCCTGCTGCAGGGACGTCACCACCGTAAGAACAACACGCAGCACATGAGCACAGGGCTGCTGCAGGCTCTGGCCTTACAGGCTTGCTGGCACACACACAGCACTGCTGTCACCGGTGCAGTGCCAGAGGCAGGAGCGCAATCTCCGACCATAAATCCACAAACGGCCGCCCGGCGGCACAGCGGTGCTCCAACCCCATTCATTAACAGTTGTAAAATTCCACGGGGAGGGAGCTGGGCGTGATGCAACCCGATGGGAGCGGGGCACAGGTCTGCAGCGTGCGGCTCAGCTGGGCACCGGCACTGCAGGGAGCACTGAGCACAGCGACTCAAGGCAGCTGCAGGAGGGGGGACCGGGGGGAGCTCCAGCAGCACAGCGTGATGACACGCAGCACTGCGCGCCCCGCTGTGCCTCTCACTGCTCCTAACAGAGCCCTGTGCATGTCTGCGCAGGAAGTGTTTGATTACAATTCCATTCTCCTCCTTTGCTGCCTTTTAGACCATGGAGGGCTGCGCGCGTGGCTCCCTGCAGCAGCGTGGGACCTGGCGTGGGCAGATTCACTCCCGTTCTTTACCTGTGGAAGCCTCGCAGTGCTCATTCAGGGAAGAGGAGCTGGCTGGCTGCGTGGCGCTGGCATGCAGCAGCAATGACCTTGGCTAGGTAACTATCTACTGAATACAAAATAGATATAAAAACAGCAATTCCTTCTTTAAAAAAAACCAAACAAACAAAAAAACCAAGACCAACCAATGTGCTGCTAAGGTAAGGAAAGGCTGTGGTTTGTTAAATAAATGCATCTGTCAGAGCTGGATTTTTTTTTTCCCCCAGCTTCCCTAAATGCCCTTCACCAGCAGAGAGGGGGAGGGGACCTGCTCTTTGAAGCCTTTTCCTTATGGGAATAGAAAACACGGAAAGAATTCAATTCTCTGCCACAGCCCGGCAGCACCGATCTGTGCGTCAAGAGCCCAAGCCCAGCCACAGCTGGCTGGTGGGAGCTGGGAGCAGCACTGCCAGATGAGCCTCACCCAACATCCAGCATCGTTAAGTGTCCCCCGTAGTGTTACAGCACAGAAAGAGCAGAGGGAGGAATGGAGACAGGGAACAGAAATAGAGCAATTCTGTGCAGAGCGCCGCAGTTATTCGTACCTTTGATCAAAAGCACCATCTAGTGAGAAAAGGGAACACTGCAACTGACACTGCTCTGCTCAACGACAAATGGAATGTGACTTTGGCCTGCTTGAAAACAAGCAGCACCACGCACTCTGCTGTGCCCGAGTGAACAGGAGAGTGTTCAGAAATTACTGTGCTCTGCGTAATTATTTCTCCAGTGGAAATGCGTCCTCTTCTTCCCCTCTCCTCCCACCTGAGAACTCAGCCTCCCTAAAGCCAGCAAGGCATGTGGCACTACAGGAAGAGAAAGATTTCCATGTTGCAATTCGAGAACTAAAGCAAAGTGAAGGTGGGTGAGCAGGCCAAGGTCGTGCAGGAAGCCAGAGGCAGATCCGGGAATAGAGAGCAGCAGCCCTGGATGCAGAGCAATGCCTGAACAATAGCACAGCACTCGCCCTCTGCTGTCTTTAACTCTTTCCTACCTCACCAAAAAGCACAGCAAGGGCTGAGCAGGCACTCCTCTGCATGTGTGTTTGCTGCCTTGCAGGACCAGCCTCAGACCTCACTGCTTGCACCACACCAAGACAAAGAGGGAAGGTGGCAGGGATCGGCAGGGTTGGGCATCCTGAGGTCAACAAGGCTGATACTTCTATACAGCAACCACAATTAGGACCTCTTCACAGGAACGGTACCTCAGCATTGCCATGTCTCCACTTCAGCATGTGACAAAACATCACGGTCTCCCTCAGAGGCATTCAGTTCAGTTCAAATGGTTGTGCTACGTTTTATGATTCTCAGTGCAGGAGGGGCAGACCTCAGTGCTCCCTCTTCCCCAGCGTTTGGGTTGGCCGCAGAAATCAGGAGTTTGCAGCACAACCACATAATGTATCTGCAGGCTCAGTAAGTACACTTTTTTCATAGCAAGCTTGGAAATGCTGCAGTGCAGTGCCTGGAAAAGGCAATAATTATGAATAACTGGAACCAAATCACACAGAAATGAACTTCAAAAAAAAAAAAAAGATTCAGGTGGTGCAAAAACCTGTAGGGCAGTGAGCCGAACTGGAGCAGAACTCTGCCAGAGAGGAGTGAGGGGCTACAGCCCAAAGCCTCCCAGAGAGCTCTCTGAAAGGAGCCCAGGTCCCAAAGGTTCCAAATCAGAACTGTAACCTGAGCAAAAAGCAAAGGGGCAAAAAACACAACCACCTTCTTGGGTCCACTGCCCAGAAGGGACACAGACATCCTAGGCTGGTTTTTAGGCGCGACCAAAACTCAATCTATGCAAACCGGGAGGGAAAGAGGAGACTGCTCCCTTACTGCAGAGGCTGTGACAAGAAAATCTTTCATTATGCCACAGCTCTTTGAACATTTACGTTTTCCAACCAAAGGCGCTGTGAAATTGGGAGCTCACAGTTCAAACTAGTTCATGGATGTTTTCCCCTGGAGGTTTTGTTCCCCTGTGGGGACTTCTGCACGGCTCTTTGCTGCTAGGGTAAGCATCCAGAGCTCCTCTCAAAAGAGAAGCTACACCCCGTGTCCCTTGAAAAATAGGTGACAAATAAGAGCCTGGAAGAACTAGAGCACAAAATTGTTGCCCTAGAGAATGGGGTTAAAAGGCTGAAGATTTGCACTCAGCGATGCCTGCAGCAAAGCAGATGTGACCGAACAAGTGCAAACAGCTCCTAGAGTTTGGAGATATTTTCCCTCAAAAAAAAGAGCTCCCACACTTCAGGAGGGCAACAATAGAACAGCAGGATGTTTGCTAAGGAAGCGTTAAAATGCTAAAAGGATTCCAGCCCTCTGCAGTTCTAGGCTGACACAGCGAGAAAGAGAAGAAAAGAGGAGACAATGAGTGCTAATAAAAACAACAGGCGTCGTTTTAAAAGACTACACCAACATTTAGCATTCAGGCGGCACGGTCTCCGGAACAAAAGCCCCAGGTTCAGGACAGACTCCTCTCTAATGTTCCTGAGAACAAAGGCACGTTGACACGAGTTACTCATCTCACCAATATGCAATTCGTGAATCAGCAGGTTTAAATCAAAGGTGAGCTCGTTGCTAATTACATAGATCAGGTTCATCTACTAAAACAGATCCCAATCAAAGCAACAAAATCAAGACTTATTCTAATGAATTTTCTTCTCTAATTGCAAATCTAGTCTGACTAACCCCTGCTGCATGACTCTCCACTCAACCACTGCAGGGCAGTTGCTTTCAATCAACTTCCCCAGCACCTGCCAGTCTGGTGACACTGACTATTACCTGCTAAAAGAAATGAGCTGGCAGATACCGGGTAAGTTAGCACAGGAGCCTGGACGTCAGGCAATTGCTGTCCTGTAAGAAAGACAGGGCATCACTCTACAGTTCATCCACTGTGGGGAGAAGGATGGTTTGAAATTTGTTTTGTTTTGTTTTCCTCCAGCTCTGATTTTCAGGAGACTGAACAGACCACAGCTTCCAGTCAGGCTGCCGTGACACAAAGCAACTGCTTCTTGGCTTTGTTTTTCAGTTTAATTTGCATAAATAAAATTATGGACTGCTTCCTTTCATTCCACAGCGGCCCTAGAGATAGAAAACTGTTACCACCATCAGACCCCTTGAAATGTGACTTTTTAGGAAGATCCCAAATTCTGCTTTTTCCACTACTGTTGATCCATTATTAACGGCAAACACACTGATGTGAACTCAGGCTCCAGCGTATTTCCCTTAATGCAGAGGAACAACACAGTGCTACCCGATGTAAACCATCCTTCACATTGCCGTCGTGAAACCCTACTGTTTATCTCAGGGAAAGACGCCCAGGATTACCTGCCTTTGTCTCTGGATTGCCTCTGTCAATTTGCATCACCACAAGGAACGGAAAGAAGCACCGGTTTGAAGGCAGGCACCCTTCCCGTAGTGCAGGAGGTCCTCACAGTGCTCGGTCCCTCAGGCCTTTGGTTCCCAAAGGCACGAGCAGAGTTGTGCTGTCCCCTGGCAGCACTCCATGGCCTGCTGACAGTGCCATCACTGAAGGAGGACGCGTGAAGCTGTCATTCAGGTCCCACTTTGTCACCAAAACTGCCTGTGAGCATCCCTACAAAGAGCCCGTGCAGGAGCTGCAGTTCTCTCTGCTGTCATGGGATGCTGCAGGAGTTCAGCACCCACCGTTCCTCGCTCACACACTGCACCATTTCTCCACTTTCAGTCTTCACACAGAACGGAATTTAAATCCGTGTTATCAGCCAAGCACGTAGCAGCAGTGTGAGCTCACGAGGGACCATCTGCCCCGTTCAGGACATTCCCCTGACGCCCAGCTCAGCGTTCAGAACAGCCCCATCTCTCTGCCTTGAACCCAGGAGCAAACAGGCTCAATGGAGCCGTCCGTGGAGCCAGGTGGCGCTCACCTTCCCATTTTCACCCGTTTCCCCATCTCTGGCCTTCCCTGGCCCACGTGCGAGCGGTTTCGGCACATCCCAGTGACGGGGACAAGGACGGAACGGACAGCCCAGCGGGGCCGGAGGCGGAACGCTGCGCTGGGAGCGGCGCTGCTCGACCGGACCGCACACAGGGGGGGACCCATTGGGCGAGCACCGCCCCTCCCGCGTTACCACTTCCGGGTCGCCTCTCAGAGGAGCGATCGGCCATTGGGCAGCCTACCAGAAATCCCGCCCCTCCTGAGGGCCGTACCATGCGCGCAGTACCGCGGCACTTCCGGCTGTGGCCATGGTGACGGGGGCTGCCAGGTACGCGCCGTGCCCTCACTCTTTCCCCGGGGCTCCTCCTGTCCCTCCAGCGGCCGGTCAACTCAGCTCCACAGGGCGAGCCGCGGGGCGACTCGGAGAGGTGGAAGCGGGGCGGCGTGGAAGCGGGGCGGCGTGGAAGCGGGGCGG